CTCATGCTTAATCTGTGCTCCACCAAGGCACCCGGACCCTCTCGCAAATACTACCGCTGAGCCAGGTACCACCTGTCTTGTACCTGCGCGTCTGGTTTTTCCTGCCAAGTGCAGAATCTTGCACTTCTCGCCACTGAAGGACGTTTGGTTGGATCGGGCCCAATGTCCAAGTCTATCCGGCTCCTCTTGAACCTTGAGCTTGTCTTCTGAGGTGTTAGCAATCCCTCCCCCGCCCCCCAGCTGTGTGTCACCTGCACATTGGTTGAGCATCCCTTCTGTCCCCATCTAAGCCGTTTATGAAGATGTTGGAGAGTTCTGGCCCCAGGATGGAGCCCTGGGGCTCCCCACTGCACCCCTCCCTCCATCTGGGACCACATGTTGGCTACAGGCATTCAGCCATGTTTCCATCTGGTAGTGGGACCCCCCCATCCCAGATTGTTCCATTTTGTCAAGAAAGGCTACGGCCGACCTTATCAAATGCCTTATTGAAGTCCCATAGCTGGATCCTGCCCCTTCCCCCCGCCCCCCACTCTCCTGGGGGATCTGCAAAGCCTCCAGGACTGGGAGCTGGGGAATCTCCCCCAAGCAGCAGCAGGGGGCCTGCAAGGGGGACACTTCTGGGGAAGGAAGAGGAGGAGGCTGATGGAGCTGCCCCCCAGTTCCCTCTCCGTGGCCTCCACCCACAGTCCCTCCAAGACTCCAGGCAGGCCTGTGCCAACGTCTCTGGGCCCTGAGCATCGCCAGGCATCTGCCAGGCTGGGGCTGCTTCCCCACAGCTCCTCAGCTTGACCCGGGGTGCCTGCTTGCTGGCCCCTTCTCCAAATTGGCTCCCATCGACTGTCCCCTCAGGCCCTGAGACACAGCCTCTGTGATGGGGGGCAGAGAAGGTCCACGAGTGAGTGGCCAAACGGTGCCATGGTGGTTTCTTTATGCACTACACTTAGAACAACTGCCTGTTTGAGCAAACCCACCTTGGCATAATGGGTGTCCTGCCAAAGTGGTTCAAGCACAGGGGCAGCCTCCCTGGCAGACCGAAGGCGCAGGGTGTGTGAGGGGAACAGCCTTGCCCAGTCCTGCATTCCTCTCTGCCCCCCAACCCCTTTGCTCCTGGCAGGGACCCTGGCTGGCTTTCTCCACCACCCTGAGTGGATGCTTCCCAGCCAAGGCTTTCTTCCCCCGGACCAGCAGGCCCGAGGCCCACCGGGGCATGGCAAATGGTTGGGGCCTTTCCTTGAACCTCACTGGTGAGTGGGTGCCGCGGGGTCTGCATGGAGGAGGGGATCCAGCTTGCTGTGCCCCACAGAATTGGGTCTCCAGATTCTCACACACACGTACGCTCAGACAGAGGGGTCGGGAAAAGGAGCTCTTTATTCCTTTCCTCCCTCCCTCCCTCCCTCCCTAGGAGGCTTCCTTAGTGTTCCAGACACTTGCACAGAAGCCCTTCCCTGGGACGGGGGTGTGCAGGAGGCGAGGGCGCTGGCAGAGACCCCCCAACAGATCCTGGACAGAGCTGTGCTTGTAGATGCAACGGTGAGCAGGTTGTTGGGCAGAAGTGAGGTAGGGTGGGGACTAAGGTCCTCTGATTGTCCTCCCAAGTACGTCAGCTCCAGGGATTGTGCGGGGGAGCCCTGCTGTGACCTCTGGCAGTCTGCCCTGCCGAAGAGGAGAAGCTGGTGGGGCTGGTCTTTGCTTGGGCTGCAGAAGAGGGAGAGGCTCTTCCAGTGGGTCCGGACCTCACAAGCGGGCCATCTTGATGCTGGAAGAGTTCAAAACCTCCTCTGAGCCTGAAAGACAAGAGGGGAAAAGCAGGTCCGGTCAAAGCAGGCCCCCGTGGCGCTCAGCTGCCCAGCTGCTTTCACAGAGATGCCCCCATGGGCTCACCTGGAGCTGAGAGGATGGCCCTGTGGTCTTCCACCATCTTCTTCCTGTGTGGGATGAAAAGACAAGCGAGGCAAAGTAAGTCCTGGAGTGGGGGGGATCTGGGGCTTGCAATGGGTCTGAAACACATCTGGAAAGCAAAGCACGGCATTGCTCCCCGAAAGGAGCCGGCACAGCCTGCTTCTTACCACAAAGGCTGCACGATTTGGGTCATCCCCAGTCGTTGCCCTGCTTAAAGCCCACCAGATACTTCTCCTGAACCCTAGGGGCATCTCTCGCAATGTCCAGGGGCAGTGCCAAGGTGCGGCTGAAATGGGGTGGGCCCACAGCCATGGGCGACGTGGTCCTGGCAGGCGGGGGGCGCTTCCCAGGCCATCTGGCATGCCAGGAAAATGTCTTCATGGGGGTGGGGCAGGCCCCCCAGCCAAGTCCACAGGTGGGAGCCAGGCGAGGAAGAAGAGGGGTCTGGGGTTGGGCAGGTGGGGGGAGCATGCCACGGGCAGACACCTGAGCCGTCCAGGGCTCCCTGCTGTGAGAGTGGTAAGGCTGGCCGGAGGGCACAAGGGAGGCAGGCTCGTGGGCCAGAGTCCGTTGGTCAGGGCAGCCCGGATGGCTGGCAGGCAGCTTGGCTGGTGGCAATGGCCTCCCGGAGTTGGAGAAAGCTTACTCCTTCCAGCAGCTCTCGTCCTCGTGATGGTTCCTATCATTGTTCTCACTATCACTCACGGGGGTCCCCAAAATCTATTCTTGGAGGGGCGCCCAGTTCCACCCACACGGAGGCCGTTCCTCACCTCCTTCTGCGCCGACAGATGCAGACGATGATCACCGTGAGGATGAGGACGATGGCCAGGGAAATGAAGACGCCAAGCAGGATCGCCATCAAATTGATCTCTGGTGGGAGCAAAGCCAAGAAGGGAGCAGGAAGGGAGGGTGGGAATGAGGGTCAGAGAACCAGAGGCCGGGGGGGGAGCAGGGCGGGGGTCTGCGTTACCTGGCTTCTTGGTCGTGGTGGCCTCTGGCAGGGCCGGGAAGGTGCTGCTGGCACCCGGCAATGGGGTGGTGGGGGGCGGTGGGGACGAACCGTCCAGCGGGGCGTCCTCACAGAAGAGTCCAACGTAGCCCTCGAGGCAGAGGCAGAGGAACCCCCCAGTGGTGAGCTGGCATGTCCCCTCGTTCTGGCAGGGGTTGCTGAGGCAGGGGCTCTCTGCAGAGGAAGAGGAAGAATCCGAGGGCTGGGTCAGGCACCCCGACCCCACCCCACCCCTTTTCTTAGTGGGGGGCAGGCGCTGGACAGGCAAAGATGACGCTCAAGTGATCTGAGCTCTAAGGAAGGACAAAACTGGGTTCTCTCTCCTGCCATGGAGGGGCGAAACAAATCCTCCCCCACAAGTGCTGTGGACTGGCTGCTTAAAAAGACCCTTTGACGAGGGCAGCAGCGTTCAGGGGCTGGTTTGGGCTGGAGGGGGGGATCCAGGCTTAAGCCACTTGGCCCTGACTTTAGATCACTGACGGTGTTCTTGTAGAGCAGTGCTTCTCAACCTCGGCCACTCTAAGATGTGTGGACTTCAACTCCCAGAATGCCCCAGCCAGAATGCC